TCACTTCGCATTTGAAAAACAAAAAACCGAAAAACTGCTAAAAAGCCCTGTGTATCACAAACTGCCAGCAGTGAGAATTCAAACCTTTTCAGGAAAGCATAACAGCCATTTGTCCGTGTAATTGCTGGGAAATCTCAGCATATACCTGTTACATCAAATTTAACTAGCAGAAAAATCATTGTACTACAGTGTGAAAAACAGGTGAATCCTGTGTTCATTAAGGTCCTTGTCACCTTAAAATAAAAAAAATAAAAAATGTTGTATTGGAGTTCTCAGCCACCATAAGAAGAATAGTGATTCGGTTTTTTTCCCAGTAATGTGATGGTTTTCCTTCCATACATTTGGATGCGATTGCCTGCTATTACAGCATACAGAAATGTGGCAATATACCGCACGGCAATCCAAAGGCTGACTATTAATACAAATTATTTATATAAGCTAAATTATAGGAATAAACCAAAATAATTCAATCTGTGAAAATAATCTGCGTAGTAAAAACAAAAGAGTTTCTCACAAAATAGCTTTTCATTAGCCTAGCCCTCATCCAGTTAGCTTGACTTTTTTAACAAGTGCAAATTACAGTAAAAAAATAAAACCTGATAAATACTGTGGAGGAACTGGAGAACTGGTTTGTATTCTCTGGTTGGCAAGAACAAAAAAAAAAAAAAGATCCAGGACATTTCCACTGCCAAACTTCAATGAAATCAGCTACATCTCAGGTACTCCTCAAGCACGCTAAGCATTGTGGGAATTTAACAGAAATAACAACACAGGGACAGGAACTTGAGTAGATAGAAATTTTGCAATCACAAAAATGGAATAAAAAAGTAAAAATGAGTGACACGTTCGTCCAGTTAAAAGAGAGTCCAGGATGCTGCAGCCTGGGAGCAGATGGGCAGCGCCAAGTCCACTCATGTGTGTAATGGTTACACTGAAGTGTGTGTACAACACGGCCCAAACTCGCGCACCCCATTCCCACCGCCCCTGCCCTCCAACACCCCGTCGTAATATCAGTTAACGTTATGGCAGAAGACAGACGCAGCCGTGATCCGTAACAAGTGGCATCTCAGGAGAGAGCGCCGGTGCCGCCAGACGCCTTTAATTAGGCCTGAAAAATGGCAGGTTATTCCATGGCTGCACTCCCTGATCATCTGGGCTGCAGAGCGCACGGAGTCGACTCCGCTCCCAACTGGCAAATATTATTTCATCTCCGCCGCTGCTGTGAATAAGTCAATGGGCGTGACAGCCAGTGGGCGGCCTGGGGTTGGCTTCTCTGTTGTTTTTTTTCCCATTGTTAAACACACAGGCAGCACTGGGCTCAGCCCACTGTTCAATGGACGCACAGAACACAACAGGAGCATTTTAATTAATTAGAGATTCAGTGAAGTGAAGCAGCGCACATGTGACGGGTTACGAGTGCCCGCCGTCAGCCTGCTAACAGACAGACGACGACTAGTTGTAATTCTAACTGGGTTTTCACATTTAAATGTCAACCGCTCGCTTTACTCGTTGCACTGTGTGTATTGTTTTGGCGTGAATCCTGTCATGAAATTTTAATTTCGCCCCGTTGTCATTATTCAGCCGGAAATTGCAATCTCATTGGTACGCACGTGCTGCCCTAAGAGAAGAATCTATTTGAATAACGAGAGAGAGAGATAGAGAAAAAAAAAAGGTGTATATACTATAATTCACACCCATGGTGAATAAAGCGTGAACAGATACATAGACTTGGATGATTGTAAACTGTAAAAAAAAAAAGTAAAGGAAAGTATTTGAACTATGGAAGATCTTGAAATAAAATACAGCAGTGTCTGGGGATCGGACTAGCAAACCGATGGTTTTCTTGTTGTTAGGCAATGTTGTTGTTTTTTTTACTGCAGATAATAAAAATAATGAATTAATTGTTGGTGTAAAAATTAGTGGCAGCTCTGTGCTGTAGTATATCTGTTGGCCATATTGTCCCCACAGGCAGCCATAGTGATTTACCCTCAGCTAAAAAATGTCTGCAATTTTATGTGCCATCATTCCCTAAAGTAATACTACAGAAGGTATTTTTTATCATTATTTTTACTCCTGCTTTAAATTTGGTGACATGTTATTAGCTCACCATATTTTTACTGACTCTTCTGGAGTCTGGGTTCTTTCTAGGAAATTGTTTTGGTTTTTAAAAGTAAATCCTCCTCAGCTCCGACAAAGCCTCTCATCCCTACCAGGATGTTGCCAGGGGTGTGTTGCTGTGACTCAACTCTGTCGGAGGAAGTTGCCTTGAAGAGCACTAGAATTAGCCCCAGCAGAGGGCCCGCAAATTTGTGGTGACTCACAGGAAGTGGGTGAGATGCAATAATTTGAACACATCACTAGGACTGACTTTCATCTCCTATATAGAGGTGACACTTGCTTTATAATTAATTTGCCAACCAGTTAAAGGACTAAGTGACCAGTGGAGCACATGGCCTTTTGGTAAAAAGATAAGGCAGATGTTCAATTAAAAACGTCTCAAGAATCCTTACTTGACTATTAGCACAGGTGAGGGAGAAACATTTCCCCACACGGCTTTGACTGCGTGCACGGTACAAAAGTAGCTGCGAGCTACGGCAGCCCATTTACCACCGCACTGCTTAAAGACTGTCTGGACAGAATTTGAATGCAGCACGTCAACCTCGCCAGTTGGATGAGGACACGGGCCTGTGTCAGTGGCAGCTCCAGACTTTCACACAGCACAGTAGCTCCTAGCTACACCTGGAGGTGGGGGCTCGTAGCTCAGCTATTACTGGCATTGAGTAAGCAATCTGTCAGCA